GACGCAAAATTTATTTTTATTTCAGTTAGTTTGGAGGCGTAATCCGTTTTATGAAAGTAGAAACACAAAGATGAAGTTGAATTTAAATTACTTCAAGTTACCTAATTTTTTAAGATGGGTACTTGTATGGATGTACGAGACTTCTCGCTCCACCTCACTTTTAGAGGTACTAATTTATGCAGTTATATTGCATTTTTTAAATTTCTAAAATTCAAAACACTGATATGATTTATACGACATCGTACCAGCACTCGGCGTTACCCAGGATTCGCGACGGGGACGCGACTGGTATGAACCCCACAAAAGGTCAACTTACGACCTGTCCACTTCCTCCTGGAATACCTAATTGATTCCGACTCAATATTTTTCTCGCATTAGATTTTTATAGCTATTATAGTGCATAATAACTCAGAAAAATTTGGAAATTAGATGGAGTAGTTATATATTCTCATTACCCATATTTTTCCGTGCAGCTACCAAAATTATTGGAATTTCGTGAACAACTTGATCCTTCAAATCAGTTGATTATCAGTGGATTAATTGCACTAGCTAATCAGTGAATTAATTGATCTTATTCTTGATAATTTGCTCACGATTTGGATTTTTTTACAGGTGTTGGAAGATGTATGAAACTTGCATGGACGCTTGACATTAGGAAAAGGTCAGAGAAACGCCGGAGCGGCTCTTCTCCATTCCACCATGCCAATGGATAAATCTACTTTGAATTGATTACACAATCTACCCAGATGCAGTTTAAATCTTTTCTATATACATTGAAATCGAACGACCTTAACTACTGGCATTTAACACCAACTGCTGGGATATAGTACATGAAGTAGTTTAGCCCCACGTCTTATCGGACGTTACGGAGAGGATACCGTTACGTCTGACGGAATGTTGTCAAGGATGACAGCATCCTCCAACGAACAAAATAACAAAATATAACATTAGAATCTTCTCTGCACACTTGCACATTTTTCCTTCCCGAATGCAAGCTTTCCCTTCCATTCAATCAATTTCCTCCAGACAGGAACTCTTTAATGGAATTCTAGGAATTCGTATGTAAATAGAATTCAAGACGCACTTTATAATTATCGTATGGGATCTCATGCTAAAAATTTATTCGATAAATAAATTTTATAATATATTCAATATATCCAGGATATCTTTTTGATGCTTTTTCATTGAATTAAAATACAATCTCCAAGTTTTCCACATGCTGTGCGAAAAAAGAAAGCTTTCTGCACCCTAAACGGCCAATTTTTATATTTGAATAAAAAGTTCATAAACATTGGTTTTTATTTTTTTCATAAATTTATAATATATTTAATATATCCAGGATATCTTTTTGATGCTTTTTCATTGAATTAAAATACAATCTCCAAGTTTTCCACACGCTGTGCGAAAAAAGAAAGCTTCCTGCACCCTAAACGGCCAATTTTTATATTTGAATAAAAAGTTCATAAACATTGGTTTTTATTTTTTTCATAAATTTTTTGGAATATTCACTAGATTTTTTATGTTCCAAGATGCAAATGCATGATTTTATATATGAGAGGGCATGAAAATCAATATATTTTTATATTCTCGTGAGAGCCTATTCTAAAAAGAACAAACATCGAGACTATCGATATCTCGAAAGTCTGTCACGCTCATTCCTCATTGGTTCAGTCGTCTGAGGCGGCTAATTTGAATTTGGAACTCATTTAAATTAACAATTTTTAATCACGATTTTAATAATTACAGCGCGCGCCAGCGCGCCTTCATTCTCGTCATTAAAAAAATGACAGGAAAATTGAAGTGAGAGAGAGAAAAGTTTTTCCAATTTCCGGGATTGGTGAGCATTTCAGCTTTGTCCAATTGAATTTGCACCGAAGAATGGGAACAGTTCTGAAACGAAAGTCCATGGAATGCTCATGTCTCTTATTTTCTCGTTCCTTTTTCTCACTTTTTTTCTTTTCACTTTCGGATGTATGGCCATGGCATCCTCGGGTTATCCGAGAACCAAGTCGTAAGTGAAATGTTCGGACGCAGTTGCTCTCAAGGCCGTCGGGCTCTCCTCTCACTTTCAGGGAAGAAATCTATAAAATCTTTCTATTTTTTATCAAAATGATTTCGGCGATTTTTTATCACTGCGAATACTCATTGGACTCTGAAAAATTCACTTCCACTCCGGCTCCAAAAACGTCAAAATCAAAATCAAAATCAAAATGAAATTTTATGAAAGGTAATTACAATGTTTTAATAATCATGTTCACTTTTTCACATTGGGGCATATTTTTTTGGCAAGTGTCAATTACCTGGGGGCGACCTTCAAGGAGTTCCATTACATTCCAAAGAGAACTTGAATAATTATCTCACATATTGAATTATCCACTGGAATGTCAAATGTAGTTCAGGCGTGAGGAGATAAAGAATGAAGGATTGGTGTTGCGTATTTTACACACTGCCGGGGAGAAAATTATTCAGCGAGAAGAATGTCATGAAATTTTTGGTGTAAACAAGTAATCTTTTCAATTTGCTTGATGCCAGATGAATTCGCTCAGATAAATCCAAGGACATAGCAGATGCATTGTCAAATGTTGATATGGAATTCCAGTCATAGTTATCTGCATCGTCAATTATGTGAAATTGAATTCAATTTTAATTTAAAAAGTCACTGAATCTCTCAATCATTCTGAAAATTTCTGAAAATTGAGTTTTTCATATTGAATAATAATTTATTTTTTGATTAAAAGTTGAATTTTCAGCATTAATTTAAAA